AGCCGGTTCTGTATACAATTTGACCTTTGTTATCGCACGCGCTATATCCATTGTTCTCGTGGACAGGAAGAAGGGTATATTCCGAGCCTTCCTCTCTGTTTACGTTTTGCATAATCAAGTGTTATTTTTCTAGGCAGTATCGTTGTAGCATCGCATTGGCGTGTTATAATTTGGGGTTGTTTGAATATTGCATGGGGCTGGCTGGCCCGCCGGGTGGCCGGCCGGTGTCCGTTAGTTCCATCGGCCGCTATAAGTGCGGGTCGGTGGTAGCGCGCGAGGACAGTGCGCGGCCGGCCGCGTTACGTGTACCACAACACCGGCTGGCACCGCCTCCCCTGCTCCTAATTCAAATTAACCTTTCGCACAAATGGATTACATACATTAGTGAACTCGACCTTCGATCGTAGCCCGCATATTCGAGCCGGTTTCAGTTTTGTTCAGGCCGATAACCACAATGCCAGTGTTGTACGAGAGATGCGCTCAGACGCAATCGCAGCTGCCGCGGCGCGCTACGAAAACCGTAGGCCGTAAGTGATAACATTATAAATGTGCGCCTGTTGAAGCCAACATAAACTTTAATCATATGAGTTTTTGGACAGTCAGTGATGGAATGATGTAGATTTTTTCTTTTTCTGATTAAGGAGTCGAGAAAGTGTCGGTCTTGTTTATCCGCTCAAGGTATTGAATGCGGAAAACGTGTCGTCCTTACCAAGATTGGCTACTGAACGACCTCCGAATGGTTTATATATAGAAGTTATTTATAGTTAAAGTACTCCATTGAATTTTGACTGGTAAAAATAAATTATGGAAAGGCTGATTTATAATTGTTTGTTTACGATGAAAATGATTCAGTATCTATCTCGTGTTTAGGTAATATATTGGTCGCTTTTTGTGATGATGCTGGAGGTGGTGTGAATCAGTGGGTCTACGTGGGCGCTGGGTAATGACCCGCAAAACGTCTCGAGTCTTTTATGAGATTTTTTTACCGTTCTCACCTTGTTCAGTTCAGGTGCAGAAAGTTCCGCTGTTGTGCGCTAGAAATTATGTTTCAGTTTGACAACAGCTTATTGAAAGTGATAGCTAGCATATCGAATGTTTTTACATTTCTTCCTTTGTAAACTGATAAACAAATTTTGTTTACTGATCTAGAAATTTTTGATAGGATTATTCGTACAAAAATGTACAAACCTTTACGAATATCGATCAATTACGCTAATCAAATATTAAAATATTAGGTCTCAGCGTAGTGCGTGTACTTCGCAGAAACTAAATTTTTTAGTATTACCAACAGTTATAACTTATAGGGGAGCACAGCTTTAAAATAAACTACCTCCCGGCGGCATCCGTTAGAATGTGGATGCTCTCGTTGTTCTCGAGTCTAGACTACGCAAACAAATTTTAAATGACCGAAACTTAATTCTTAAATGAAGGTGCCGAAGATTTCCATGTGTTTTTTTGTTGTTTTTCATGCGGTCACACTGCCCACGTCAAAATATAAAGTATTATTTATTATTATATTAAGTTTTCATTATAAGTGACATATAATGTATGTTTTTTGAGAATAAATTCTATAAACTGAAACTTTTATAGACAAGAGTGCTGGATTATAATATTAGATAATGAGCTACACAATATCTTTATATAGGTATGATTTCTTGTACTATCTATATCGACTCTAATATGCAACGAATTTCTATCCTCAATATCCAAATATACATCAAGATTTTGGAACAAAACAGTAATCGATCAATATAATTTGCAAGTCTAACTTATATTCTCCGAGGGTAAATTTGCATCATGTTAAGATAGGGGATGGCATGACGTTTTTTTCGGGACACAGAATTATTGTAGGTATATCGATTTCCTCGGTAACATTAGTTTCAATATTTAAAATTGTCTAGAAAGCGTTTATATATTACTGGTATTACTAAATAACATTAGTAACGCTTCATAAAAAAAATTAGGGAGCCAATTCTCCGTCGTGCAGGTCAACAGATCAATGTGATTTTGCACGGTCAATCTAGAAGCGATTTGACGCAGTTTCTCATTTTGTTGATGTCATAGTTATACCTGGTTATGTTGCACTCGTAAGTCGTCACTGCATGACTCTTTATAATTATGGAGGTTCAGTTACGGTACTGGATTGTCGATTATTAGAGCGAAATGTTATATAGCTACGTTAACATTGATTGTATTTGTTATAATACGCACCATTTTGGTAATTAAATGATTTATGTAAATGTCATCACTTATGATAAAGAGCTGGTAAGGATCGCTTGTTATTCTTGTCAGCTAAAAGACGTCCTGAACGAGTGGTAGGGAATACAATTTTTTTTTGACGATTCAAATGTGCTTGTACCAAGCTTGAATAAAGACATTTTCATTTAATTTCACATCGATAGATTCATAATTATTGCAATAGTTATTTATAATCCAGAGTTAATAATCCATATACTTATAATACTCGTACTTTATACAATACTTTTTAATTGCAACTCGCTAAATTTGTTCAGTATATAAAAAAATATGTATGAGATCTTTTTATGCAACAGACCAAAGAATAAATGTCCACAAATTGTTCCGAATTGCGTTGGGTTTACATTATGACTAATGACTACACTTTTTGGACAAACCGTTCCGAATTACGTTCGATTGTTTTTAATCTAATTTTGAACGTATTTAGGAATTAATAAGATAGATATTTGTTCGTAATGTCAATACAATAATAATTTAGAGTTTTCTTTATCTCAACACCAAATCGAGAGTTGGAAAGCGCATTAGCGTCAAAGTGAAAAGGCTTTGCCGACGATTTGTGTAACCACAAAGACAATTTGTCTGTTTGTGTGATGATAGGGTAGCTGTAGACTTCTTGTAGATGTGGCGAAGAAAGAGCTATCAAACTATTATAATCAAGAAACGGTACTTATAATCAACAACATATAGAAAATTAAAACTTTTACTTACATCAATATATTAAAAAAATCGACAATACCTAGGTATCACCTGTCAGAGGCTTTTGAAAATACATTGTAAAATTTTTATAGTCGTATAGTCTAGGAGTTTGATAGCCCAGTGGTTAGCACATTCGGTCTACGATGCGGAGGTCATGCAAATTTGGTCGTGGGATGGGTGACCAAAAATTTATTCTTCGTCCTTCGTGCTTCGAAAGGCACGTTAGGTCATTCGTTCGGCTACATCGTAACACCTACCAATCCGCATTGAGCCCGCGTGGTAGTTGTGGCCCTATTTTCACTCGATGTCAAGGAAGACTCGTGCCTCATCATCAACGTCAGTCTATAGTAAAAGTTAACTGGTTTTTTCGTAAAGTGGGGTCTGTGACATTGTAACCTGGTTGTATACTACCGATACATATTATGATATCAATTATTCAGTAGCTTTGGCTGTTCCATCGAATTTGGTTTTCTTTATTTGTCTATTCGAAATAGATTTGGTTGATAATAAAGTCGGCAGTCGGTCAGTCCTTTAAAACTTCCTCTTCGAATGAAATGCCATACATTCCAATATTTTTAAGTGACTAACTAAAAATAAGTTCATAGACCCGACTGAGTTTTCTGCATGGCAACCGTTGCGTTGACGAGTCTTGGGATGTGGTGCCAGGTGCCATGCGCCAGTTACATGTAAAATTAAGGTTTATCGTTTGCCGGCAACAGCAATAGTCTGAATCAGTTGATTTTCAATTTTAATTGTTTATATTTGATTTAGGTTATTAATATTTGTGTTTGCGTGTTTTTAATAACTGTAAAAGTCCATTGATGAGGTCCTAATGTAACGTCAATTTAACTGATATTATTGAAAATATTGTAATGGTTATATCTGATGTGACATGTAGTGTGTGTTGACTGTCAGTCCAGTAGACAAGTTCAAGTTAACTCTGACCCTCTCATCGATCGCTGCCCACTCTAATGCTATCCACGTCACACAATACAAGTTTCATCGCCGTGGGGAGACCAAAGACGTCGAACGTGTATTAATGACCGACGTTATTTCTAATTCGATCCGATCGAACAGACGTTTTCAGTAATTGTTTAATGATCGGATCGAGAAAAAACACAGAATATATTCAGTCAAACTCGGGCTTTTGTCAACGATACGGCTGCTTCTTGCCGTTTTTATATTTTCAAACATAACTTTTATGTATTTGTAAGGTGTAATTAATATTTAAGGGAAACGGTGTGACCTGATAATTGCAAGGTCGACACGTGAACTTAAATAGTGCGTAAAACAAGTTTGTCGATAATGAGTTTGGTCGATATGCAATTTTGCCTTCGCGCACTACCGTAGCCGGCACGCGTATGTGTCACGGTTCATTGCCTTGACTACGGAAAGAGATCCTAATATGGCGAGCGGCGCAGGCGCAGGATTGCCTTGCGCCAACGCAAATAGCAGCCATTACGAACAATCCCTCAGACTTAACACTACATGTCATGTGACTAACATTCTAGAGCAATAACATGCCGACGACTGGAAGTAAACAAAGACAAAGATCGAGAATTTGAACATTGTCTAACCGAGACAGTCTGTATACGAAATCAAAATCATAAGTCTGATGTGATTGCCAAAATATGTGTTGTTCATGGTTAAGATTTCGAAGACGCGTGGCCGACTCTAGTACAGCCGACACACCTATAGAGGCGTTCGAGAAAACTGAACTGTCCGTCGAGGATTTGAAAGAAGAGGAGCGCGATGTGCCCATGTCAAGTAAGAGCAACGACAGAGCTCACGCACCCTCCATTGCGATTTAGGATAGTCTAGATTTGAATTTCTGCTTTGCACCTTTTGTTTGTTTCGCATTTTGGTTTTTGCTTTTCCAAAGGATTAGTTCGTTCCTTTGTTGCGTCACCGTATGATTCACGAACTCGAGCGTTTAAGATCATATATGATATAACTTAAAAACTAAATTTGGCAATTGTGTTCTATTTGGTCTCTAGTAATGTTTTATATTATCATTTTAATGTTCATATTTTTATGTTACGTTTCAGCACCGTCGCGCGTCACCCGCAACAATCAGATGCGGTTGTCGAACGCGGGTGGGTATACGAACGGACACGGCGGCGACACGACGGGGCGGCGCGGCACTGAGAATGTGCCACCACCGCAGCTACAGCCTCAACCGCAGCCCAACTCCAGGGTCACACAACAGGTCAGGACTCTTCAACTTTCGTAATCATCGGAGCACAGAACGAGAGTTCAGGGTGAGATCCACAGTTTCCGTATTCAATCGAAATCAGTAAGATGGCGCATATAAATGGATTCTAGTGCGTAAATCAAAGCGTTCCAGGGGTCACTAACACACATCTTTGCTGGATTATAATTTGACGAGGCCGCGCACATAGGTGCTACTAGAAACGAGATACATTTTCTCATATAGATATAAATATTGGTAGTGCGCCTGATTATCGTAAAGACCCTAGTAATGTTTTTTATGTTCATGGATATGTTTACATATTTTATGTTCCATGGCATATTTATTTGATTGCAAATGAAATTATTCAAAAAGAAATTCAAGAACCACTCTCACTTTCCCTTAAAATTTCCTCCACCGTATATTCCTGTACGTGTGATTCCACATCCTACCCAGCCTCCCGCGTCTGGTGGTCGATCGAGGACGGGCAGTACTCCCAGCGCCGCCTCAGTGGTGCAGGCTCTGCAACAGTCACCGTATATGCCGCATCTGCAGCGGAGGATAAACGCGAAGGAGGTTCCCTACAGCATATACCTACTCCTATACTTGTTTTTTGTGTATTTTTGTTGGTAAACTAATCTGTTAGAAGTAGGATGTTGAGCTTATTCGAGTACAGATCTTTAGTTTTGTGTGGAATCAGGAGCTAAGCGTGTCAAAGGGGGGTCTTGTACCGGAATACTTTCTCAATAACGAACGTTTAGGTGACATGACGTTGTGCTGATAACGCCCAACGATTTTCATGGTACGTGTGCTAAAAGATTATCTAGAACGTGATTGATTTAAACAAGTTTTAGTAACCGCTTTTTAGATTTGTAATGTTTTTTTTCTAATTCGAAGTCTGTTACACGTTAGTAGGTCCTGCGCACTGTATGTTGATACGTTGGTTTTGGCCCAGTTCACGGCGCCGGGCGGCGGGGGCGGGGGCGTGGCGGGTGGGGGCGGGGGCGGTGGCGGGGGCGGGGGCCGCGCGGCGGGCGTGTCGAGCACGGTGTCGGTGCCGCACGCGGTGGCGTCGGGCGCGGTGCGGCGCTCCAACGTCGTGAAGGAGGTGGAGCGGCTCAAGGAGAACAGGGAGAAGCGGAGGCAGCGGCAGGCCGAGCTCAAGGAGGAGAAGGTGAGAAGCCTCCACGTTATCGCCGAAAATCGCCACGATTTTTGTAGCATAGGTCGCACCCTTTCGGTTCGACTAAGACGGTGTTCGTGTTGAAATATATTATTGAGAACCTTTATAGATCGACGAAACTGACCGACCTCCGATAGATTATTTTGATTAAAAAAGAAACCAATTTGTCGAATAGATTGGGCTTGTATCTTTTTATTTCGACCAGTACCACCTTGACCTTCTGCCTAAACTTTGTTATGCTAAAAAAAATTATAAATATAAGTGGCACAAAATAGATTTTGTTGATGAACCGAAGTATTTTGTTATTGTCGAATTTCTCCTTTGTATTATTCTCAAACGTAAAAGGGGTTTTTCTTTCTGAATGGGTGCTAAATAATTCGTAGATTAAGTGGCCTTAATGTTTCATTGATCTTTCCAGGAGGCCCTAATGAATATGGATCCCGGCAATCCGAACTGGGAGTTCCTGGCGATGATCCGGGAGTACCAGAACAGTATAGAGTTCCGACCCCTCACGGGCAACGAACCAGTTGAGGATCACCAGATCACCGTCTGCGTCAGAAAGCGGCCGCTAAACAAGAAGGAGGTCACTAAGAAAGAGGTCTGAACCCCCTTCACGTTTAAATTAGCTTTGGTCGAGAACAGAGATCTTTTAATTGAAGGTTTAATTTTTCTATTGCTTACAGACCACTAGAGGTTTGAAAATCATTGGTTTCAAAATACTGGGTCTTTCTATGCACTTAATTCTTACATAGTTTAATCGACTATAATATTTTTCTTATACGAAATGGCTTGACAAAGTGAAGATATGTAAAACCTCAAAGTCAAGCCAAATTCACTCACCTGAGCAACATAATTATGTTTTTTAGGTGGACGTGATCAGCGTGCCGACGAAGGATCAGATGATAGTGCACGAGCCCAAGAACAAGGTGGACCTTACAAAGTATCTAGAGAACCAGAAGTTCCGCTTCGATTACGCCTTCGACGATTCCTGCACCAACGAAGTCGTTTACAAGTGAGAGACAGACACTATTTTATTAAATTATAAAAAATTTCTATACATACCTTAAAAGGTAAATCGGGACCTTTATTTTTTGTCTGTCCGTCGGCTTAGTTGGTTTGCTCGATACTGTTCAAACAATACAGTATTGAATTTTTAATATACAATAAATAAGAATATGAAAGTTGTACAAACTATATTATGTATCATATCAAAAGATAAGGCATTGTGAGTCAGGTTTTAAGTAGACCATTCTTTCCGCTTATCTTTGAACTGAATCTATAAATTAAAGGAAAGCCTATGATAAGCGTCTTTTTTTTTTATTTCAATCTTATTCTCATTTGATATTTTTCCAAAATTTATTTTATCAGTGCAATGTTCGTGTTGTTTAATTATTATAATGAATAAGTTTATAAAACTCGTCTGTATGCAGATACACTGCGAAGCCTCTGGTGCAGACGATATTCGAGGGCGGTATGGCCACCTGCTTCGCATACGGACAGACCGGATCTGGCAAAACTCATACCATGGGTGGTGACTTCCAGGTAAATGTTATCGATATCAGATTATATTTTGAATACATTTACTAAAAAAATAGATAATTTTTTTCATTTCTTTTGATGATATTTTTTTTTTATGTTAACCCTGCAGAAATAGGGTTAACGAGTGGGTAAAATAAAATCTATTTAGTCCGTCGGTCAGATAATAGAAAAAAATTAGATACATTATTTTGTTGCTTCAATTTAAACAAGAAATAGCTTAGATAATAGGCATTAAAGTTGAGGAGTGGGGGCTCGCTACGTCACACATTTGTAGAAAATCTACAGAAGCGTGACGTCATGCGACATTTAAACTCGATGTATCGCCGTAATTGATTGATTACGTGAAAAATAATAAAAAAAACTTATTTAATATTCTTCACTAATTTACCTGATGAACAAACAAACAAATTTAAGTCATCATCTCTATTGTATCAAGTTATAATTAATAGAACATATGCTGCATTACAGTGACAAAAAAATAAAGAGCTTCAAAAATTATCATTATCGATAATATTTAAATTCACAAAACTTTAAAGTATCCATTATTGGTTACGATAATTTCACAAAAAAAAAAATCTTGTTTTTATTAAAATAAAGCATAAATATATGTACAGGGTAAAACTCAGGATTGCAAGAAAGGTATCTACGCGATGGCGGCGCGAGACGTGTTCACGTATCTCAAGTCGCCCAAGTACAAACCGCTCAACCTCATAGTCTCCGCTTCATTTTTCGAGATATACTCAGGAAAGGTAGGTGATCATATTATTGAATGCTGGGTGTCGAACAATTATTAATAAAAATACTTATTTTTAGATCATTCGGTATGTAATAATATGAACTACCGACTATAAGTATTATAATACAAAACAAACTAGAGAAGTGCTATGACATGTTATATACAGGGTTGTTGGTAAAACACTTACAATATCGCAATATTCATCAATAACTCATCAATCAAACGCTCAGTTACATAAATATCCATTAGCGTTTAATGACGACCTTAAACTTTGGTAATGTCGCTTTAAACTACTGACAATTTGAAGTGGGCAACGTAATAGACAACTGGGGGAAAATCAATTATCTTCGTAATAATGTTTAATTCACGAGTTTTGAAATAATTGAATATTTTATCAAAAGTTTTATTTTCTTATTTCTAACTCTGTATTGTGTCGTTCGTAGTGAGATTTACAAGGGTATTCGTAAATAAATATATCGGTGTGAAGGTTTTAAAATTATAGAATAGACAAAACCGAAAAAACGGACGTCATTGTTTATGATGATAGATACCATAGTGCTTTGACGGTTATACATAGTTTTGCTGGAGGGCGAATGCACTATGTATCTTTCTTGCCATTTGATGGACGGCAGAGGTTATATGGGGTTCAACAGAATAAACCATGCGTCTCGGAGCGGAAAACCAGGAACTACTAACGTTTCATACGTTAGAGTCAGTCGTATCGCAACGTCGGAACCGTCGCTCCCATTTAGGGATGGAGCCGATGCGTGTCTGGAAATTGTAAATGGGATCATTTTGTTTTGAGACATAGCTGTTTTACAAATAACCCTGTATAATGAATAATCACGAAAATGTTTATGTTTGTGATGTGGTGAATATTGTAACGTCCGCCAGGTGTTCGACCTGCTGGCCGACAAAGCGAAGCTCCGCGTGCTGGAGGACGGCAAGCAGCAGGTGCAGATAGTGGGGCTCACGGAGAAGGTGGTCGACAACGTGGACGAGGTGCTCAAGCTCATCCACCACGGAAACGCCGCCAGGACCTCCGGACAGGTGTGTCACTCTACTGGTTGTGTATTTGTCATTTTTTGACAAATGCATGAAAAGTAAAGTGTTTTACGTACGGAACCATTTCATCATTCAAACATTTCTCCTCAACTGCCTTGATACTAGAATTGGTTTTGTCGCTAGAAGTGTCTATTGCTTATTTTGTATCTCTGAGGAGCCGGGTTCGATTCTCGGTTGGGTCAATGTAAAAAATGTATTTTTCTATATTGTCTCGGGTCTGGGTGTTGTGGTATCTTCGTTGCCTCAAATAGAACAGGTATTGGCAACCTTGGACATGTTGTGGGCTAAAACTTTAGTGTGCAAATACGTTCGCGGGCTGCGTTTAAAAGTAGTACATTTTAAAGTATCGTTGTAGTGTTCATAATTTTATTATAAACTAGCTGACCCGACAGACTTCGTCCTGTCAAAAAGATTTGTAATGTGGCAGTTTTTTTGCCTACGTATTTAAAAAAATTCTCCTGAACAGAACCGTGAGTTTCGGAACGCGACATTAAACTCCTCCTACTATGTATTCTGTGCTCCAACGCACACACGCACATTGTTTTGATAGATATGATCTTTGACGTTAGGAACACACCTACATTGCTTAGACAACAGTGAGTACTTGTAATTTAATATGAACTTTATACCATAGCAATAAAGCTCAAATTGACTACGTTTTAGTTACAAATCATTTGTATGGGAAAAAGAAAAGGGCTATTTTTAGGGTTTTTCCAGCAATAATTCTAATTTTTCTCGCCGTAAAAACCATCCTTGAACTTCGACGAACATTTTAAAAAAAGATTTGGCCAAATTGGTCGAGGCGTTGTTGAGTTATGCGCTTACCAACACATTTTGCGATTCATTTTTATATATATAGATTAGGTTTTTCATAATGTCATAATGTCTCGCGGGCCGGCTGTTCTCTCTCCTCTGTGGGTCTATAATACTGGCTCTTTAGCTACTCCATGAGCAGTGCATCTGATATGTCGTTATTGCTACAAAAGTGTTGCCTAATGTAACTGTACTAAACTCTGTGCGACCAGACGTCGGCGAACTCGAACTCGTCGCGGTCGCACGCCGTGTTCCAGATCGTGGTGCGGTCGCCGGGCATGCACCGCGTGCACGGCAAGTTCAGCCTCATCGACCTGGCCGGCAACGAGCGCGGGGCCGATACCTCCTCGGCCAACAGGCAGACGCGTCAGTATACCGATATACACTGTGCTACTCGTGAATATTGATCAAATATAATAATATTAATATGAAATTTAAATAGAAAGGTTATTTTTGGTTTTTAAATATGGCCCCGGGGCTAATTATTTCTCGATGTGACGTATGATAGATATTCACGAAATTCACGTTGTAGCTATATATGTGGAACGATTATGATCGCTCTCTGCTCTCTTTTAGAAATATATTAATTGATTTCGTTTTATTAGACAAATGTTAGATATAAATATGATGCTGTGCTAAAAATGTTACTTTGGCTCTTACTGAGCAGAAGCCCGTTTGATATAACTTATTTTTTTGATATATAAAATTGTGTTGTGTTTTATGCTAAATAACGCCTTTCGTTTTATTCTATACAAATATCTATGAAAGATAATGAGATATGCCAAACGAATGAGTTGAATACTAGTCGTAATCTTTTGCCGGGTTTAAATATGTATTTATTATATTTCAAATGATCGTTCGTTGTAAAAACTAAGTGATAAGAAAATACCGTGTGCAGGCATGGAGAGCGCGGAGATCAACAAGTCGCTGCTGGCGCTGAAGGAGTGCATCCGCGCGCTGGGCATGAAGGGCAACAACCACCTGCCCTTCCGCGTGTCCAAGCTCACGCAGGTGCTGAGGGACTCCTTCATCGGCGACAAGTCCCGCACCTGCATGATCGCCATGATCTCGCCCGCCATGTCCTCCTGCGAGCACTCGCTCAACACGCTCCGATACGCGGACAGGTGACACATTCTTTTTAGAAATGTATATTGATACATTCATATAATTATTAAATCGCTATAAATAAAAAAAGTATTAATTTAAATTATCCCGCGAAAACGATCAATCATCCGACATTTCGGGACGTGACGTCACATTTCAATAAACTAAGGTCAACGTCTTTGGTGCGAGACCAAGGGTTTTTTTTATCCACAGATTATAAATCGCAAAGTTATCGCTTACATACAAGTTACCATCTCACGTTGGTATGTCGTATCATTTTATCGGCTTCAATCTCTGAATTAGTTTTAACGTTATACACGATGAAGTTGGAGCGATTGAAATAAGTGAACTGGAATAAATAGATGGTAATTTTGTCGTGTTGCAGAGTGAAAGAGTTGGGTACGTCGGACAGTCGGCGGGCGGAGTCCCCGCTGGCCGACGTAGACATGGAGCCCGCGCATGACGACCTCGCGCATCTGCGCTCGCTCAACGTTAGTGCACTATACTCTGGATAATGCTAACATATAAGTTGCATTGCAAGGGGGGCCCTTAAATATTTATTTTTTAGTGTTTTAAATGTTTGTTTTTACTATCTAAATATCACTGTTGACGAGATACTATCCCGGTGATAGATGAACAGACGGACGAGCAGCGGAGTTTTAGTCCTTTTCAGATCTCAGACCAACTTTTACCAAGCGGGGCAGAAACTTGATATTGCGTCTAAACCCTTTCCACCTGCTAAGACGTCTGCTAAAACGACGATATGTCATAAGAAAGATGAGACAGTACAATCCCAATTTATGATTTGATCAAAGGAACTTGCAGCCATTTGGAGGCTCCCTCCCTATTAGTCCTCCACTGCGGAACCTTGATCACTACATAGCTAAAGTTTAAGCTGTGGTTTCTATTGATATATGACGTCGGCATAACGAATGCGCTGCCCGTCCGCAGGAGGGCGACATGTCCGCGGAGATGTACACGTTCCACGAGGCCATCGACGAGCTGCAGCGCGCGGAGGAGGAGGTGCTGGACAACCACAAGGCCATCTCGGACTACCTGCAGCACGCGCACTCGCGCGCCGCGCAACTGCTGGCCCTCACCAGGGACGTGGACTACGACCAGGACGGTCGGTATTTGGCGTGACTAACCCGCCCTGCTTACAGGACACTTCTTACTCGTATTAATTTTCGGTGGATAAGTTCTATTCTAGCGATATACTTTCACACGATATCTTGACAGTATATTTATACCTACGAAACCGTTTAGTGGTTTTTGACAAATTAATTATTCAAAAGTAGCCTCATATCTATACTAATATTATAAAACTGAAGAGTTTGTTTGTTTGAACGCGCTAATCTCAGGAACTACTGGTTCGAATTAAAAAAATATTTTTGTGTTGAATAGACCATTTATCGAGGAAGGCTTTAGGCTATATAACATCACGCTGCAACTATTAGGAGCGAAGAAATAATGGAAAACGCGAACGAAGTCGCTGGCGGCCACTAGTATAAATATATGAAGTAGTTTTGCATCAAAGAATTTTCACAAACTTTCGTATACACTAGCTTTGTGCCCCTATAATATGCATAATATAAAACCAAGGGGTTTTGAATGATAATCACTCTGAATGATAAAAACTGCACAATAATTCGCTGTATAGTTTAGCATAGCATTCAGACAGCGACTTCGTTTTATACTATGTATAGATGAGATGTAGGATTTGCATAAATTATACGCGCTTTAAACCGTTCAATATTTGTTTCATTATCACGAGTAATATGCGCGTTAATATTGAATTCCAAAGATAATACTAATCCGTTAATCAAATATGTAGTAAAATCATGTTATCTTATCCACACTATGAGTAGAAATAAATAACGCATAAATAAATCAATAGGTACTCTTAGCATGAAAAGTCATAGTGTGCGAGTCGAATTAATTACGAGGAGTTATTATGTTGGAAGTCTTAACTAGGGTGTGTCCAGCTTTGGCGCCAGTGGGAATTCATGTAGTCGTAATAAAGTCATAAGAAGTTAATTTGGATAATAATAGATTCAAAGTCTTATAGTAAATTTATTTTACAATTTTAATTAATATAAGTCCCGTAAATTGTTAATGCGCTGGAACCTTTTCTTAATAACATCGAGACAAAAGTGCACTTTTTGGGATATCTTTTATGCAACGAAAAACCTGGGGTTTCAAACTGTTTATCAAACACAACTGCAAGGTTTCTGACAGTCAAGTAAGGAATAATATTGCCGTCGAAAGTTAAATAATTGTTCAAAGTCGACCTCAAAAAGGAAATGTCGATGAAATAATTAATGTTCCTTTATATTATAAATATAGACTGATTTCAATTAATAAACCGATATTTTTTTACAAATCTATGCATTTCACGCATAAACATTTATATTACACGCAACCCTTTTATTTTAGGTTTTTATCACAAATAAAAAAGAAAAAAATGAATAACCGAATTATTCGTTTTTTTTAAATGCCCGGTTTTTGCATGCCCTAGTCTTACACATACTTGTGAATGTTGAAAAATTATATCATTAGTTCGTAAATCTATAGTGGGAGATTTTGGTGTTGAGGGTACTGAGAATGTCATGATTAGAGTATGTTCAAAGGGAGAAACTTCGTAGGGTTTGTTTAAAAAAGTGTTTATTCATGGTTTTTCAATGAGTGAATTAATTTAATTTAAATGATATAGCAATCACATACTTGAACAAATAATTGTGATGTATGGCAGGAGATGAATGGGTTGTTATGTAAGAGCCTAAACGGTAGTTCATTTACTGACTATGACGGTTTTCTTTTTGAACAGACTCTACTTTTTTTTTTTCTTTTGAACAGTTTCTACTTTAATTTTATTTTTAATTCAGAGTTGATAAAGTTTTATTCACATAGCATGGGTACGGTGACGTTTAAGATTTTAACGGCCTCCGCTTTACCATCTTGGCCATATTAAGATTTGAAGGTTTTAATGATGTGGTTATGAAAAAATATATCACAACCCTATTTAAAAAAAAAACGTTCTATTTTTCGTTACAAGTTTAGTTACGCAATATTTCAGTAATTATGGCTATTAGAAGTTAATTTGTGTTTAAATATGTAAATTTAAATTTAATTAGATAACGAACGTGACTACCCATGCTATGTGAAATCGCTCACTGAATACTACAGTGGCACAAATCAAAAATCATTTTTTCGAGACAACGCCACAACATTGTGGTGGCATCCCATAGATAATTTAAAGAAAAAATAAAAAACTTAACACAAACGATATAATACAAACTTATATAATACAAACGATTTAACTGTTATGCTAAAAAAAATTGATTTTCATAATTATAAATATATTAAATTTTCATAACTTCGGAGAGCGTTTCTCGAAATATAGTTTTTGAGTTGTGCCACTGTAGTATTCAGTGAGCGAAATGGACTATAGTCGTCAATGGAAGGGGCACCGAGTGCAGTGTAGTGTAGTGTAGTGTAGTGTAGTGTAGTGTAGTGTAGTGTAGTGTAGCGTGTGTTGTGGCAGGGCGGCGCAAGCGGGCGCGTTCGCACGCGGCGGCCGCGCGCCCGCGCCCGCGCCGCCTCCGGCTGTTAGGTTCGGATCACACACGTCGCTTTACCATTGGCTTCATCGGCTCCACACGCGTCACTATTACTCAACGCAGTCTCGGTGCACAGTGATATATTGTCATGCGACCTTTATGTTTTACCTCGGATTTTTTAAATATACAAATCATAAAATATTCTATTAATTTTTAAACGTCCTGGAATACGATAAAAATCAATTAGACATCGTAAACCTTAGTCATGTATATACGGAGATTAATTGCTGAACGTGAAGTCTAACCCCGAATAAATTAAATACTAAAAAAGTATTTCTTTTATGAAATAACTGTTTTCCTGCGACTTTTCCCTCATAATTTATAGCTCATATCGACCATGTTTGATGTATGTAAATGGATCTTTTTTATCTTTCCAATAGTTTTGGAGCAAATGCAAAATAAACAATAATCAAATGCATAATATAAGTATAAAAAAATCCTTATACAAAACTATATGTAGGCAGCGTTGAGTTTGTGTGACGTAAAAATTTAATAAATTAACGTGGTGGTTATAATTCGATCATACATTATCCTGGTTTAACTCGATCATATCTTTCTAAATTACGTAAAGAATTAAAAAATTATCACAGCCGGGGACACATGCCCACACCATCACTCGCAGGTGCTTCGTCTATTGACACTATCATATTAATCAAACATAATAAATCATAGCGGGTTTATCGGTTTGTTATTGATAATATAATAATTTAATCGAATCCGTTTCGTCAATGTAAGTTTATTAATATTTTCTTTTTAATTAACTGGTTTATTAGATATACAACAAATTAAATTTCCAGCTTCAATAATAATTTAACGACCACTTTCAATGATCGGGAATAGTTAGACTTATCTAAACTTTTCGACGACGGTACTTTTAGTATGTATATTTATAATTTTCAATGTTACAGAATAAATGTCTTTCAATTGACTGAAAATGAAAATTCATATTTAATTTATTTATTTATAGGATACCAACAGGGCATGCATTAAATACATATTTTGTAATACAGTATTAATAAATTATCGGTCTGATGCATACACCTAAAATGGCTAGTCATTGAAGAGCATTGAAGAGTATTCAGGAGCTCGCAAATAAATATAATTTTAAAATGTTTAGATAAATACAGTCTAGCTATTCAGATAAATCGCTCACAAATAACAGCCGAGTTAACTATCATTAAAAAATATAATGTCCGATTAGTATTCATCTGAAGTGTGCACTCGTTGGGCAGCGTACGCGACGCAGTGGGAGGAGCTGCTGAACGAGCAGCTGGCGGTGCTGGCGCAGTCGCGCGACCTGGTGGCGGAGTTCCGCGCCAAGATGCAGCAGGAGGAGCACATCTCGCGCCGCATGCATCCGCCCCACCCCCACCCGCCGCGCCACCACTAGTCGGCCCAGTGTGAACCTTGGTGTAACGCGGCGAGGGTCGACCGGCCACGTGCCACGGCCGAGAGGCCCCCACGCGCAGATCTGGTCGTGCGCACTGTACGGGGTCCGCGAGTGAACTGTTCATGGGGGGGGGGGGAGTCTGCACACGGTGTCGCACTGTTTATTTTTTGTGTAATAATACCATTTCGTCAAAGGAGCGTGAGTCGATAAATAAAAATTCGGTTTTTGAATGTTTTTCTAAAAACATGATACGTAGCTTACTCTATTTTTGTCTATAACGATACTGTAGTGCGACTTAGAATATAATCTCCAGTGATGATGTGTAAGTACGATAAATTTTGTTGGCTTCGCTCCGTTGATATATTCGAATCGATTTATCTAAAATTCGGTGCGCGTGCGCGTTCGCTTCCTAAACGGGCGCTTCTAAAGAGTGAACGAATGGTACGTCACGACTGCGTTGTGTTGAGTCGACCGAATAATGTACGGTGCTTTTCATTGTAATGAAAAACTGTTGATTATCGTTCAGTTCTGTAGCTGGCCTACCTACGGATCGATGCTATTTTGGTTTAATTATATTTTGCGAACTTTGTGACATAAATTTTTATTTTTACTTAATATTTCACGCCCCTCTCGTTCGTTTCTTATGAAAATTAGGTACAAATATAGGTGAAACGTGCGCTGTGGACTCGACGATAGACTGTTTACTGTAGGGAGTGTTTAAAGCACAAAGAATAGACGGGACCGGTGTGTTTTAGATATATGCGTCGATTTTAGACCAACGCTGCACGCCGGCCGGTGCGGTGTAATTACTATAAAGCATTATTTTTAGTTTCTTTGCCCTCTAACGAAGATAATTTTTTTTTCAATGCATTTAACTCGAAAGCCTATTTCTAAAATTGTAAATGTTATTTATAAGAGACTGGTGGTTCAGTAACTTAGTGACACGTTACTTTGATATAAGGACGGGATCGCTCGTCTAATATTCGTGTCATGAACCAAATTGTTGGTCATTTATGCGCGACGCCCCGTTTCGTTTGTGCCGTTTTGATATCAACAATATTACTGTCTTAGGTACGATGTACATATTAAAAGATACGACTAGATATTATCGCTTAGCATTTGATTTTCTGTGGGGATTTCCAAAAAAATCTTATCTTGTAAATTTCATATTCCTGGACGCTATAGTTTGGGAATGTTCACTGATTTATGTCAGTAATTTTCTATTTTTCTTTTATTTAATAAGAAATTTTATGGATCATTTATTCTTCTGTATGATCATTCGGTCCCCCATAAGGGAGGTCTGCTCCCCTCAGCGGCAGGGACATAAAGTTTATGATAACGATTAACCACCATACTATCTTAAGTCCTATGTAAATAATTTCACTGTATAGTTCGAGTTTGCTAATATCAAAACGGCGCATATATTGTGAAGGCGTGTGTGTATTAATCATAAGTGTTTGTTGTTATTCAGTAACATATCTTTTGCCTTACGATCGCTTGTTATTTCTCGTTATGCGATGTACTATATAAACTTGTCGAACTCGTATACGTTTGACGTATGTCACGTGGCTCGTTTACACAATGCGAGATGCTGTCTAGCCAGTGAAGTTACTTCGCTTCTAAACTCGTACGCCAGTAGCTCGGCTCGCCTTCATACATCAACTGTACCCAGATGAAGTGTTCTCGCTTTTGGCCAAGCTTTTGAGCGTAGCACACAAAAATGGTTTCCGCTTACGAACTACTGCCGATCGAGTTCAAACGATGCAAGTGATTATGGTTGTGTGAAACTAAATAATGTTGCAGTAACTCGGATGCGAGCTACTGTCCAACTCCTAAGTTTGATCAAATAGTGCTAGTTACTCGGCAGGATGTATGCTCACTCGCATTGTGTAAGCTCGCCATTGCAGTGACATCATCAGATACTTATATCGTGTGTATGAAGCATGTTTTACAAATTTTAAGTGATACATATTAAAGGAATATACGCATATACGACACTCGGTGTGTTTTGTATTGTTGTTGGTTGTTTAAAGATGTGGCTTTTAAATAAAAATGAATTTTTAATTTAGTAATAACATTCGAGTGTTTTTTTTTTCATTTATGCAAAATATTCCAAGTCGCAATTCATAATATCCAGTAAAGTACAACAGCCACGTGACAGTTTGTAAGCAGAGGTACTCGTCTACTTGGTGATTGGCGTATACGAATTGTTGTGAGGTATCGAGCGCGGACCGACGTCGTAGACGCGGCTGTATTATATTAATTTTTAGTCGTAACATCAATATAAATGTAACATGTAACATAAATAACGGTTAGACATCGACGGATCGATCGGTGTCCGCTTTGTGTTTCGATTGTTCCCCGTCTAGTACTTCGATGACAGCGTAATTGGTACTGGCCCCTCGTGGGCGTGGGCGTGGGCGTAGGCCGATGGTCAATAATTATAGTTACGTTTTATTTGTTAGAATAATATACACGACTGACATGAGCCGGTGAGATAAATTTCTATACACAGATCTTTCTCTTACCATTTGTATTGTAATTATAATTTATTTTACTGTTATCATCTATTAATTAATAATAATAAAAATTCATTTCATAAAAAAGCGTAAAACGTGCAACGTGTATGTTTAATTAATAAAAATAGTAAACTAATTAAAAAGACTCGTGCCTAACTGTGAGTTACTTTCAAGTCGATACATATTAATTATCATTGTTTTCCTCTTTTTTTGTAATGCTGTAATGCTACTTATTTATTATGTTGTGATAAATCATTGTGTTCTATAGTTCTGTGACATGCGACCGCGCTTTGTTTTGAATCGGGATTTCATCAAAATCAGACAATGTGCATTAAATATTTGTTTTGCCGTTTGTGTGAACGTTATCAAAGAGAATTCAATACACAAACCGTGGTTGTAGGATATTTTGTCGGCATTTCGTGTGAGGGAGACTCAATGTCCGGTGGTCACGTGCTCGGCTGGTGCTAGGCAGATCGCTTTTAACACTAGTCTGTTTCGCTGCTGTTTACTCTTTAGATAATCGTAAATAAATATTATTCAAATGAACTTTTTTGTTAGCATCATTTAAATGTAATAATGACCTTTCTCTAACTAAATCTATGATTATTTTGTAATTTATACGACAGCGAGCCCCCGCTGTTTCCCGGCCTCCGTATAATGTTTACAAACGAGGTTATTAGATAGTGCTTTAATAATAATGAATGATTATAAAAAAAACGTCAAATCGGTACTCTGTATCAGAGTCGACGCTTCGCCCAATTTTGATTGTACTGAACGAAATCTCTCTTACTATATATATATTTTTTTAAATAGTTGTATTATTGTCGAGATTGTAAACTCTTGTTTTGCCTTGAAATGAATTAGTTTTTGTATAGAGGTTACGTCAAATGGACAATAGTGTGTAATGCGCGGCGGCGGCGGGACGAGCCTGCCCCTAGTTGTCTAGTTGAAATGCTTTATTATAATATAAACATATTTTAACATCGCACATTATAATAAATTAATCGAAATTGAATGTTGTTGTTTTATTCCAATGCCTATGTTCGACCGAAGACCTGACAAAGCTGTGTGGTGGCCGCAGTGGCGTAGCTAGGTAACCTAGGGCCCTGGGGCAAATAAAAAAAATGGGGTCCACTGCTCGAAAAAAAATCTTGACTCGAAGTTCACAATCGTGAATCACAAAAACGCATATCGATAAATAATAATATGCTGATATTGATATCCGACAAATTGATGAAAACATTAATAAAACTCTCAACCCACACAAATAATTTAGGGGAATTCCCTTTTTATAACTTTGGAATTTCTTACAACTGAGTTGCCATGATTAAACTCGAGTTGTCACCTGTCATATTTATTTTGAAAATAGGAGAAATTTTCAAAAGTTGAGTCCGATTGAGATTTTCTGATAAAGATTCGAGCGCCCCCTGAGCTTGAGGGCCCCGGGGCACTGCCTCGCCTAACCCCTTGGTAGCTACGCAATTGGGTGGCCGGATCCATCCGTGCCCCTTTTTAAAGCACGTCTTAAAAACATCTTTGTAACTATTTTTTTTATTTTATTAGGTACTAATTACTACCACAGTTCAGGTTAGGAACCTGTGCTATTACATATACATGTTCATAAAAGGTTCAAGTCATCAGAGAAGACTGGAGATATATTTACTTGTATAGATTGAGTGATTGCCGAAAGGTTGTCTTTTCGGTGCGACAGAAGTGCATCGGTTGCTACGGATATGATTCACTTTTAAAAGTTTCAAATAAATTAATGTGGTTCTGATAGTAATTTTTTAATACAAGCGCTTGGAACTGGTAACAACAAAAAGTCACATATAGTCACAAATTACTTACCTATCCAAATAGGGATGACGACTGGGTAAAAAAATACAATTCTATTTAGTCCGTCAGTCAGATAATAGAAAAATATTAGAAACGTATTTTTTTGTTTTACTTCAATTTAACAGGAAATAGCTGAGATAACAGGCATTAAAGTTGAGGAGTGGGGCCGCAACGTCACAGTTTTGTAGAAAACGTACTATAACGTGACGTCATGCGAAATTTCAACTCCATGTATCTCCGTAATTTTATGATTACGAAAAAAAAAAAAAAATACTTGTTTAATATTTTTCAATACTACTTGACGGACAATCAAATAAAAATTAGTCGTCATCCCTATTAGTGTAGTGATGTGACGAAAGTAATTTTTCCCGCTTTACACAGCTGCGCTTGTCATCGTTTGGCATTGAAATTATTGAACGAACTATAAAACAATAAGACCAAAATATAGTAAACAGTACGTTTATTAGCAATAATAACAATTTGTACTGGTGGTATTATGGAAAGAAAACATATTTCTGGAAGACGCAACTTAAAAACTAAGGTAAGCATTCAGTAAACATTGTCGTTCAAATAAGCTAGTAGGTTATTTAAACAATTGCATTTTCATAACCATTATGTATATAGGTTATGAAATTGTAACCGACATAAGAAACATATTTTTTTTCTAATACAAACTAGTTATATAAAACAATACACGTACAAATAAACAAAGCATCTCGGGAGCTTAGGACGCCATGTTATGGCCAAAAATACTATTGTTATAATGCAGGTTTAGTGCATGCTGTCCAGCAGTGAACGTTCTCCAGCTGATGATGATATAATTAGGTCAAGTTTCAAATCTTTTTTGGTTAAAACTCGGTACATGCATATTTAGAACTTGAAGATATCGAGATGATCTATTTATTGTAACGTTAAGATATGTGTTAATGTTCTTAGGAAATTTAAAGAATCGATCCAAACATTAAATATCACAGAATTTCTCATGCAACACCACAAAATAAGTTAATAAAAACAAAAGTTGTATAATACACAGGTTTAAAATACAATTATACAAAGATTTCTTTGGTAAAACTTATACTACACAATATGATGAAGAGCTATCTCATGGGATGCCATGTGTTATGCTATTGAAAGCCAGCAGTCCGTTGCTACACTTTGTGTTCGTGTAGAAAACTAGACAAGAAAGTGGATGCCAGTCTAGTGTGACGATTGGCATCGCAGCTGGTGGCCGAATAATATAGGAGTTATGCATAGGTCTATTGGAATTTTCGAGAAATAAGGTATGGCCAGTTAGGAAAGTTCTAATGCAATTTGACAAGATCAACTGGTGACTCGGTCAGAGTCGCTGTCATGGCATCTTAATGAGATATAACTCTTAGGGAATCACGCCTTAAATCAATGAAGAAATTGTCTAAAACGTTTTACTTGTTTCATCCAAACCAGGTATAATCCCTGGAATAAAATACTATGTAATCCACATAGTATTTTATTCCAGGGACTCATTTCTCAGTAGATCATCCTGAATTAATAAAGATAGGTTTAATCCGTCATTGAATGCAATGACTTTCACAAAAACAATATATAAAATAGGTACAATTAATACTTACTACGTAAGTACATAAAGTTACAATACAGCTTGCCTGCAAGCAGTTAACGTTTGAAAATATTTACAAAATAATGATAGTTACACCTTATTTAGTATATTATCATCAATAAAATATATACACTATATAAATACATTTAACATGTGCGTTATTATTTAGATCATAATTTAAGAATAATTCCCTAGTTTAATAATACCAACAATTTATGTTCCAAATACTCTTCACATTGTTCGTATACTACCCTACCAACATGGTGTTTCATAAATTTACTTAGAAGTCAAAAACCATTTAAAAGCGAGTTGCTGAGTTGGTACCTATTTAGGCTTATGATGAGTGCAAGCCCTTTACAAAGCTGGTTCGGATTAAAAAAGGAGTATTTCCTTTTAGTTACATCAGGTAAAATTCTATGCAGTAGTCTAGGCATTTGCAGGGCTCAACGAGTATAAAGTTAGTTTATAAGAAATATGGCAAGTAGAAAGTGAGAAGGGACTAGTTATTTGTGCTTTAGTTCTGGATGAAATGACCATGAGTGAATCCCTTTGTTTGGATACTCAATCTCATAAATATTCTGGTCGCGTCAATACAGATATCGACTTAGAAAGTGATCCTGTCGAAGTGGCAGGCCAAAGTTTGGACTTTTTAATAAATTGCATAAATGGCAAATGGAAATTCCCACTCGCATATTTTTTAATAACCAGGTTGAGGCGTAAACAAAAAGCTGCACATTTACTAATATGTTTGCAAAAATGTAAAGTTGGGGTGAAAATCATAAGTATTACTTATGATGGACCTGCTGCAAATTTTAGCATGTTTGAACACCTCCGATGTGATCTTATGCAAGCAGATGGTCGTCGGACATATTTTAAATTCGATTATGATAAGATTTATTGTTTCATCGATCCATGTCATGCAGTTAAACTGATCCGAAACCTTTGGTGAACTTCAATTATTTTATGATATGTTTTGGTCGTAAAGTATAGTTCACTTTATTAGAATGACTGTTAAAATTACAGAAAAGTGAAGGTTTGCATATGGGTACGAAAATTACAAAAGTTCATGTAGAGGAACTGCAGTATATATGGGATACTGCAGGTAACTTGGAATACTTCGTTATCTCAATAAATATTAACGCCATATATGTTTTTTTGCCGTAAACATAACGTCGTAAGACACACTACGACATATATTAAAAACAGGATGCCATTTTGACATTCTGGCTACCAGCTTCGACGGAACAAGACGACAGGTTTCAAAACTCTTTTGGTAAGTATGCAAACAATGTCAATTTTTTACTCTCATACATATAATATTGAGTGTAATTTTGAAGAAGATCAAGATTGTCATTCCATTCCACAACGACGACAACTTCGCCTGTGGTTGCTACTTTGGGAATGGAGAATGTCGACGACACAAAGCCAGAGCCGTCAGGCTGTAGGATTGAAATTCGATCCCTTATTAGTCTTTTTCAAATTTCTGCCGTGACCACAGTAAAAAAGAGAACTAGCAATAGAGGCCGTAAGCCAGCAAGATCTGCAATATTCTCAAGTTCTTCTTATAAAAAAGACCTTGAGAATGCACAACTTAAAAAGTCTGATAAAGAAAACGGACCACAGAAGAAACTGATGAAGGGAAAAGGAAATAAAGTAACAAGAAAAACAAAGAAGAGAAATATGTCAGACACTCATCAGATCTGAATCCTGATGCTATATCAGGTAATAACACAGACTCGTCCGACGGTATCCCAAATACGCTACAGCTCCTCTAAACTTTTCAAAAAAAAAAAAAAAATGTTAGTTTGGCAACGAATTTCACGATTTCGATGACTGTGACAGAACTATACATTTCTTGTAACTTATAAACGACGTGTTTGATGTTCTAAATAGCTGCTCCGTTAGACCACCAGGTTGGAAAAAAGGTATGTGCCCTAAAATATTGGTTTAACCCAGGGTCTTTTTGAAGGGGTCATCAATTACATCAACAACAACGGTTTAAAGTTCTCATCTGGAAATTAAGATGTAGAATCGAAACGAAGAACTAGCTTTATTGCACTTATAATAATCCAAACGCTATTCAGTTTAGAGCTGCATTCAAACGTCTCTTGATTAGAGCTGAAATTCGCGATGGTGGCTTAGGCAATTGCATTCCTCTTGAACAGGTAAATATTTTAACGTGTTCAAGCAGGATTGATCCAGTTACAAATATAATGATTGAACCTTTATAGAGGTATCGGATGATAGCAGTTTATTTGAAGAATATTTAGACTGCCTGAAAATGTTGTCCCGTAGGTATATTGCAGGTTATGTAGTCAGAAAATTATCCCGCACTATCAAATGTGAGAATTGTGTATGTTAATTGGTGATATTAAAGAACAATCATTAATTACGTAAAACACGAAGGGGCCTCGTTTATTCTTCCAAAGACGTTGAGGATCTGTGTAAAAAGACAGAGAAAATTTTAAAATATAATTTTCAAAAAAATATTTGAAACATATTATTTGTATATCTTCTCTTTTCTCATAGAACATTATGGAAAAAAAACAAGGTTTTGACACTAGTTAAAATGATCACGATTAGAGATGGGCAAAGTGTTTCCGCCCGGCGGGCGGATAGGGAAAAAACCCAGTCATTTTGGGAATAAATCTTATTTGCCCGATAAACGCCCGATAAATGCCCAATCTGAGGGCATAAAAAATTTAATTGTTCAACTAAAAGTTATTTAAGAATTAAAGAAAATATCAATGATTTACAAATTAATATTGAATAATTTTAAATAATTTAACATTATATATATGTATATAAAACAATTGGTCCTGATTCATCGTCGCCGAGCATGAACTATTGAAGTTGAACCTATGATCTTTGATCAGTGGAGTGAGGTTTGTGGGGGAGATATTAAGAAAAACACCTGGAAATTCACCCCCTAAGTGGGTGAAATAAGAAATAAAACACGCGCGAGCGTCGGTCTCAACTGAACTGACTTTCGTGTCGCACACCTCACTGTTTACTTATTTTTTACCGTTTCTGAATAATACAGAACATTTATAAATAAGCGATTAATATAGTTTTCAATAAATACCTTGGCATGAAGACTGAAATTCATGATCATATACAGGAATAATTTAAAACCACTGCGAAGATTTTGTGAAAATAAACTTTAAGTAATTTAAATAAACACGTATTTTTTATTTTGATATGTTCTAATACTAAAAAATAAAGTTATCGCTTATCAAAGATCGAGATTTTAAAACTTCATTTATGGACACCGCGCGCCGTGCGTCAGCTGAGCGCTCGCTCGACGCCGCCGTAGGCATGTACTCGTAGGTACCTATCTACACGGGTCACTGAACGCTCATTTTGTTAGATTCGAACTAGATTTTATGCCATGATCTGAGGTGTTTTCTAAGAGTAATTCCAATTTTCCCTTCATACTTTTATGGTTAAGGCCATCAAAATGCAAAAAAATAAAAGAGAAACAAATTCGTTACCTAGAAAAAAATATTAATGTTATGCCGAAGTTACATAGGTACTTCTGCGTTAAGGCGTATTTAAAAAAATTAGAATCAACTACGTATTTACAATAATGTTGAATCAAAACAAATACCTAACTAATTACTTACCATGTATTTTAATATTTGTTCAAAATGAAGTCCACGTCTGTCCAGACATAAACGTGCACATTTCATTAAATTGTCATTTAATTTGTTTAAAACACTAGTGTCACTTTTCACTTCACTGAAAGCGTTATTATTTTTTATTGTTGTCTTCTAGACTTTGTGCCTCCTCTACATCTCGGCGTTTGACTTCTTCCCATAAGAAACAGTCCCTCACTTGTGAACAATGCTTCATCCGTCTACAAGATGTTTACATCGCGGTGATGTAGAAGCCACTCACATAAAGCTCGACGTGGTATTGGGTCTAGGTCATGGAACTGCTGAACCGGCTGAAAGTGGTACGGATGGAGTCCGGCTGTTTTTAGCAGCTTCAATACCGCAGGCTGGCTCACACCAAAGAGATATACCGCATCGTGGGTACTGACTCTGGGACTTCGTCTGTTAAAATGGTTCGAAGCATTAGGGACCGCGGGGTTATGGATCCCAAAGGCCCGCATACGAGGTATGCTCTTCGTCGCATACTTTCTCCGAATTGCGCTTATGTAGGTTCTCACCACTCAAAAGATAAACTCGTACATCTCGTAAAACTCACGACGGCGGGCGCGTCGCGTGCGCGGGAACGCGAGGACACGTCACATCGGCGCGTGCGTATGAGTCTCACTGTCGCGCGCGTCGCTCGGTCCCGGCGGGGCGGTGGGGGCTGTGGCGGGGGGCTACCGGGCGCGGCGGGGTTGCACGGTGGCATACGCAAGAGAAGAAGTTTTCATTGAAGTTTTATTTTAAAAAATGTGTCCATATTCTACCGTTTCGATAGGGATAAAAATATTTAAAAAAAAATTTTTAACTAATTATGGAAAAGTGTTCTATTACTGATACTGAACCACCAAAAAAAATTTTTGCACTGGAAAAAAAATATTCCTGTATATTTATTATTTATTTATTTATTTATTTATTATTTGTATTAATATTTAAGTATTTTATTATACATATTTATTTTCCTATAACAATAAAACACTACTAAATACATAAGTTCAACTTTCATTTAATGCAAAAAAAATATTTTGCTCAATAATATAAATGCCCAGATAAATGCCCAGTGGGCGGGAATTTACGGGCGCTTATCGGGAAAAAACCCAATTCACCCAAAACGCCCGGACATTTTCCCATCACTAATCACGATGCCAGTCATAAATATTTGCTTATTAAATCTGAGATTAAAACAGAAATCGATATAAGATTTAAATATTTCGGCAAAAAAACTACATAAAAAATTTCGTTTAGAAATCACCTCAACAAAATTGTTATTTTCAGAAATGAATACGTGCAAAATTTGTGAGACATTGGTACCAAATATGTAAATGAATACTAAAATGCAAAATAATGTAAGTAAAGTACAAATTAATGTTCTTTTATGTTAGCGATACTTATCCCAAATAATATCGCTTTCAATATCCCTACTGAGCATGGATACTGGCCTAGAGTCTAGAAAAATGGCAAGTAAAAGCAGATTAGCTTTTGTGTCAAAAAAGTGGAAATTTAGTGTACGAGTGTGCCAGTTGCTGAGGGAAAAATGGAACGAATACTCAGCACCGATAAAAGATTTACACTATCCAAAGTAGCTACCAAACTTTCTTAACACCGTCATCACAAGAGAAACAAGAAGCCTGCTGATATAGCAAGCGCGCTCACTGTCTACGACATTGCGAACTTATTCTACGCGCCACATGCGGCATGCGAGCCGAAGGCCGTGCGATAGCTGGTGTGGAGCACATCCCCAAGCCATTCCCCCGAAAGAGGGGATACATAGAAGGCGATAAGTGGGTTTGAAATCCGCGTTTTGACTATCCTTAACCATACCCGCTGCCGCATGTCAAAGGCGGGAAAAGTGCATAAAGCATTCCCCTACGAGAAAAAAGACTATTCGAAGACGCACTACAAACTGCGTCACCACGAACGAATTGAAAAAAGAAACATCGAAACGGTAACACCGACAACCGTTAAACAAGTCAGGGTCGGCAAATATCACCGCCACGCCGGGCGACCCTACCTGAAGATCACGCCCCTAATACTCACTGGGTTGACCAGTACCAACGAAACGTACGCACTACTCGACGTAGGAAGCACCTTCACCTTGGGAGCTAGACTGCTCCGTCAACTCTTTGTGCCACATAATAAAAAATCGTAAGAATCAATTTCCTGACAGAGAATATTGAATCTGAGTGCAAAATATCGAAATGGCAAGATATTGTAGGTGTCTATGAGACAGACTGCAGCCACACACAATGTAATTCAACATGTAATTCTAGAAAAATAAAAAAATAGAAAGAAAGGAAATAACGGAACGGAATAACATAATCGAATATTCCGTGTAGGACGATAGGTCACACTTATTTAAACATAACCATTACTGATACGAATATAACTCATCTGTTTTACGTAGTTAGCATAAACAAATATCAATGATGAAATGCGATGGAAATTTGGGTCACGCACGATATATTGTATAAACATATGAAAATAATATTACTATGTTAGGACATTTAAATTAAAAAATTAGCAATAACACAATGTCTACATAGGAAAATTCTTTATGCATTTGAACCTCGAACCGAGACTATAATAAAAGCGAATATTATTTAACCCCAAGTAACTTACCTTTACCCTCATTTATAAAAAAAAGCCAAAGAAATATTAAACGGATACTTATCAGGCTGTATCACTCGTGTCGATAACGAATATAGAGCATATGTCTCTATAAAAATGTCGAAGGAAATAGCTTATCATTAAAATTAGAATTCATTGATTCCTATATCGGAGATAATAATTCCTCCTATAATAATGAACATATAATAAGTACTTTAGAAATACTAACAATAGGAAATGAAATATATTGAATAGATTAATCAATTAATTTAAGAGTGTCTCTCCTTAATCAGGATGAGAAGCAATCATTATTTCAAGTATGTTACGATTATAATGACGTATTTTATTTA